ATCCATCGGCTCCATAGAACCGCTCAAGACCACAGAAAACCCTTTGCCGCCTTGCCTCTATCTTGCTCCCATCAATCCTTCTACGAAGATCTGCTATCTTCCGCCAGTACTCCTCCAGCATCACAAAATGATTGATGACTCCAACCCTAAAAGCAAGTTATCGTTCCAGCTTCCATCCGGCTTCCCATGTTCTCGTTATTCATGACGTCGATCTTATCTAACATAGTTATCCCCTCTTTAATACACATTCGACAAGTATTCTATCCCATTCCAAAGCTCCGGTGATCGAAAAAGAGAGGAGGATCAGAGCCGGCATCCTTTGCCGGCGATTATGACGTCACAACCCAGAGAAGGGTTCAAGAAAAGGAAGGCGACAATTGTTGAAGGAGGCGTCATCCAACTGTATATACTCTATGAACCCTAATTAGTGATTTCCTATTCTCTTTATCTTTAAATGCTAGATTTGGATGAATTCAATTAAAAATGTATTGTTGTAAATCATCACCGCCTAACATCATTGCCAACCACTACATTGTTACTCGATCCATAGTTACAGATAATTTTTTTAATCTTTTTTGGACCAAAATACTCTTAAACGTCATTTGGGCGTTCTAATTAAAAACTATAACCAACTCTCATTTTGGTCAACTACTTTTGGTCGATTACTATTGTTTGTTGTTAAGGAAGAAGGATTTCCTGAGTTATTAAAAGTTTGTATGATTATTTTTCACTAGCTTTGTTTATATTTGAAAGTCTATTATACAAATACTAATATAAATATGTTATGAAATTTAGTTTCTCAATTGGGTTCACAATGATTACGAATACTCAGATCAATATTAAAGCTATAATTGCTTTAAAAGGTAGGCTAAAAATAGGAGTGTTTTTATTTGAAAGGAAATAACACAAAAGTGTTTTAAAATGGGTTTGTTATTGTGAATTTTTTAATGCATTATTGTGTATTCTACCAAAATGTATTTGTATAAATGTATGTTGTCAGATGATGTATACTTTTTGTATGGTTGGAATCAAGTGAGCTTGCACTAATGAATTTCTCAAATTTAATTTGGATTCGAAAAGAAGATCAAGTGCATTATGTATTCTGCTAGAAGATCAAATTGCATTATGGATTCTTCAAGAATACGAAATTTATTATATTAGAATGTCTTTAGAAAGAATACATTCTGAAATCATTGTATGACAACTTCATATGTATCATAACTGTGAAAAATCAAAATCGCATGTAACATATGTGTATGTATCATAATCATATGTATTTTTAAAGAATGTTATTGTAAAAATCCGTGTTGGTGTAGTCTAAAAGGGTGATATATATATTCTGTCAGAATATGTATTCTGTTATGGTTCAAAAATATTTTTTATTTTCAATATAATGATAAACATATTATGTTAGAATGTCCGAATTATGAGAATTATCATCTCTAAAATCAGATTTTTAAAATTAATAGAATATGTTATCCCTTAAAATCTCTAGATTAATTGACTAAACTACACTTATAATGAGATTTATGTGATTATTTTATTTTCCTTAATTTAATAATATACATAAATCACTTTCTTAAATTAATAAAAATGATTAGACCACAATCATATCTATATTCACACAATAGATAGTTTGAAGCATACAATAATATATCTATATATATCTATATATATATATCTCTATATATTCTCTATATATATATATATATATATATATATATATCGCGGTTGATCATAGTGGGTAGGTGGAGTATTGGATGTATTCTGAATGAATTCTTACCGGGAATTATATCACTTTTGCTGTGAAATGACACTTTGATAGTGAATTATGACAATAAATAGATGTAAAATATATGTGTATATTTGGTCGGTCCGCAGAAGATGCTATATACAACCAGAAGATCATACATCTTTTACGAACTGGTTAAATATATGCATATTTTTTTACCCGAGTCATCAAAGCCCTTATATGCTTATTTTTTTAAACTCTTTGTATTTTTTTCTTTTGTTTTTTTTTATATATATAATTTTTAGAAATTTCTCTGATTGTGACATTAGCATCCAAGAAAAGTAACAAATATGTTATCTCTAAGACATGGTAAATATACAAATAAATAAGTAAACAAATCGTTACATGTTTTTGGAAACAATACATTTGATTATGATTTGTTATAAAAACCGACTGGTTTGTAATAAGGTGACTTTTATCGATTGATAATCTTTCCTTGAAGAAACTATTAAAAGATAAAGAATCTTTTTCAGGTATAAAATATTACTTTTCGGAACATTAAGTTATTTTTCTAACCTTTTACAAGGGATGACTTACATTGTTTTTTTATTAAAAATAATTTTTTAGATGACATAAAGTGGACATATAATCTTTTTGTATGCTTGACTCGATAAGTTTAGTCGAGCTTGATAGTTAATAGGCTCTTTTTATAAAAAAGAGCAGTGTGAGGCTTGTTTATAATGATTTACATCCAACTGATAACTGTATCGACTTGACTTGGCTAGAGTGCACTGTTCAGTTAGACAGTTTGTACTTTTTGCAGCGTTTGCAACTTAAATACCCAATTCTCAATAAAAACATGTACATGGGACTTTGCTTCAGATTCCATTATAATCAAAAAGCCCAACCCATTGTAAAATAAAAATGGACAATACTCATAATTATACACTCACAATATGATTCAAAACAAAATACAAAATGAGCTTATATGCTCAAAAAGCTACAACACCATACATGATATGCAAGATTTCTTTGTAACAGAAACCGAAACAACTTGAAATCAAATCGGTTAGTTTACTGCCCAATCACCCGCTTGGCACCCTCCAAAGTATTTTTAAGCAGCATGGCCACAGTCATGGGCCCCACACCCCCTGGAACAGGCGTAACCCATCCCGCAACTTTACATGCTTGGTCAAAGTCAACATCACCCACAAGCCTATATCCTGATTTTCTGGTAGCATCATCCACCGCATTCGTCCCCACATCAATAACCGCAGCACCACTTTTTATCCAACTACCCTTTATCTAATAATAAAACAATTCAACAAACCAAAGTGTAAACAAACTAACCTATAACCCAAATAAATAAAATCATTATAAGCAATGAATGAAGTATAACTGTAAACTGTACAAGTATGGTTACGGTTATGCTTACCATCATGGGTTGTCCTGCTGCAGCAATAACAATATCTGCCTCACGGATCATACTTTCTGGTTCCTCTGTACGTGAATGAACAACAGTAACTGTTGCATCTTCCTTCAATAGAAGTAGTGAAACTGGTAACCCAACAATGTTACTTCTACCAACAACAACTGCACGTTTTCCCTTTATGCTAATTCCACTGCGTTTCAGAAGCTCAATACATCCCTGTTTCAGGAAAAAAAAAAAAATCATTTATTTCTTTTGTATATTATATTTATATCATATCCTAAATGGTAAAAAAAAAAAATATATGTTATTGATTGGCTTGCCTTTGGGGTGCAAGGAAGAAAAAGGGGTTCTCTTCCTTTCATAGCAAGTTTGCCAATGTTGAGAGGGTGAAACCCATCCACATCCTTGTCGATGCTGATTTCTGTTAACACTTTTTCTTCATTTATGTGTTTTGGTAAAGGAAGCTGAACCAATATGCCTGGATGCATCATCATAAGTCATAAGTCATAAGTCATAACAAACAATTTGATTTCATTTCATTTCAAGGTGCTTATAAGTTATAAGAGATACATGTAATTTGGTTTGCTGACCATGTACATTTGGATCTGCATTTAACTCATGGACCTTTGCGATTAATTCAGCTTCAGGTACTTGTTCTGGAAGGTCTATGTCAATAGACTTGATTCCAACCTCACAACATGCTTTTCTTTTCATACTTACATAACTTTGAGAGTCTTTTCTATGCCCCACAAATCACCACAGCAAGTCCTGGTGCCTGAAATAAATCATTTTTTTCTAACAAAATGTTGTATTCAAATAGTGATGTATGTGTATATGCAGAGAAAGGAAATGATGGTTCTTTACCTTGCCATATTTCTCAATCAAGGTACTGACTTCAGAGGCGATTTCAGAACGAATTGTTTGTGCGATTGCTTTTCCATCAATGATGGTGGCCTTATGATCTACGTGCAATGCCATGGCTACAACAACTGAGATATCAAGATTCCACCAATCCTGTTACATATTCGATTTACTTTGAAAAATCACATCCGAACAACCATTTAAAGCAAAATGTAGAAGCATCATGTGATGAATCGGGATAAGGTTAAACTCATTAGCAAACACACCCAATTAGATTAAGGTATAAGGCGCATAGGTTTTTCCACCAAGAGGGATATGGATATCTAAGAACAGAGTCTGATTGAGGTCCTTAAAGCCGTAAATTTCAAATCGAAAAATAAGAGGATTGTGTGAATATAAGTTAGATCTATAGCAAACAGAAAGACACGACCAAGTAAATGAACGAATCGCATAGGAGTAAAACAGAAAATCTTCAATCAATTCGTGAAATTCAAACTTAGATTTCTTGTAGACGGTATAATCAAGCAAACTTCATCTGAAGTATCATATAGTAATTATATAAACAGTAACAAAAATTTATCTTAAATTCGAAAAGAAAACAAACAGGAGTGAAAAAAGGATACCGAGTAAGCACTAAATAGAACAAATCCAGAGCTTTTTACTACCTGCTAGTTAGAGATTTGATCGTAGAAGCTTTGAGAAGTTATTTTGATCCTATAATAGAGAGAGATTGTGGTTTAGTGATATATACTGATATGGAATATGACACATACATACGCTCGCTCTTTTTGTCAATTGGCGGCGGAATCCCGGCGGTGGAGTACTCGGCTCGGCGTTAGTAGAAAATAGTATATAATTTTAATTCAGACTTGGCTAATAACATAAAAACTATTTTTTTTTAACCTCTCAAGTCTCAATTTTAATTTCTGCTAAAAAAATCATATATTTTTAGATAAAAATTTAAAAGTGATTACTATGAACTGTAAATACCGGTTAAATAGATATGCCCTATCTTTTGTTCTAAAAATTATTTATTTTTTCAAAAGTCAATATCGACCACAATCTGTTTTCTGTTGTTTTTTTAGGGATTCTTTTTATTGAAAAAAATTAAAATATCGAAGTTTATAATCTTTCATTATTTACAAACAGACATCAATACATATCGATGCAAACCCATAAGATTCCGGTGTTCGTTGACAAACCATTAGGTTCCAAGTTCTATGACTTAGGCTGGAGGGAGTGGTGTCACTAAAACCGCACTCCCTCCTATGCCACGTAGACACCAACTCATATTTTTTCCTATTTCATCAATTTGAAACCGCAATGGTGGAGTGGGAAAACGGTAAGGAGAGAAAATAAAAGAAAAAGAAAGAAAGATGATTGGTTGAGAGAGGAGAGAGATAGCAAGTAAAAGAGGAGAGAGAGAAAGGGGTGTGCACCCCTGGAGGGCTGCAGTGCGGCCGAGACCGCACCTAGACCACACCCAGGGGCGGTGTGCATGATGATGTGGCAGGAGGGAGCGTTCCCTAGACCGCACCACTCTCTCTGGTCTTAAGTTAAATTTTTTATCTAGAAAAATCATTTGAGTTTGGATTCTATGATTTAGATTTTTTGTTGAAAAACCATTCGGTTTTGGTTTATGTATGTCGAAAAACTAAACCATAAAATTTGATTTTGATACTTTGGTTTGAAAGTACATACAAACACATGGAATTTTTGTCGAAACTTAAAACATGAAAACCAAAATCAAATGATTTTTCAACTCAAAAAAACCAAAACTAAATCATTTGAAAACGAAACTAAATGATTTTCAAAAAAAAAAACTTAATTTTTCAGTTTGACATTATCATACCGATATAGATAATCTATTTATAGAAATCAAAAAATTATAAATTTTGATGTATTAAAGTGTGGATTAAAGCTGCAAAGTTTAATTTGTCATTTTGTTTTGGGCAAGTTGCAAAACTTGAAAAGTGGTGGATTTGAATTTTTTTCAGTCCCTATTTTCAAAAATCAATTCGAATCGTCACTCATTTCATTAAAAATTGCATGTTACGTCCCTCACAGCATAAAATAAATATCTTGCCTTTTTCTTTTCTTTTTCATTCCTTTTTCCGTTGTTTATAATTTATCAATTATCAATTATTTTTTGTTAATTACTATTTTTTAGAAAATAAAATTTCCCCTTAAGTTGGCTCCAACCATCCACCTCCGACCACCGGTCACCTTCGACACCGGCTACCACTAGCCACCTCCTGCCAACACTACATCTACATCTGAAAGAGATCTGCATATATGTGTTTATTTACATAATCCATACCCTAGATTTGCCATATACCGATATAGATAATCTATTTATAGAAATCAAAAAATTATAAATTTTGATGTATTTAAGTTTCAATTAAAGCTGCAAAGTTTAATTTGTCATTTTGTTTTGAGCAAGTTGCAAGACTTGAAAAGTGGTGGATTTGAATTTTTTTCAGTCCTATTTTCAAAAATCAATTCGAATCTCGTCCCTCATTTCATTAAAAGTTGCATGTTACATCCCTCACAGCATAAAATAATTATCTTGCCTTTTTCTTTTTCTTTTTCATTCCTTTTTCGGTTGCTTATAATTTATCAATTATCAATTATTTTTTGTTAATTACTAATTTTTAGAAAATAAAATTCCCCCTTAAGTTGGCTCCAACCATCCACCTCCAACCACCGGTCACCTTCGACACCGGCTACCACCAGCCACCTCCTGCCAACACTACATCTACATCTGAAAGAGATCTGCATATATGTGTTTATTTACAGAATCCATACCCTAGATATACAAACAGATCAAACAAATAAAATAGATGAGAGGATTAGTGGAAGATTATGGTCGGACACAAACCCTTCCACCCATTGTCCTACCACTACCATGAAACCTGCAACTCCGGTTATCGTTTGCGACAAGGTTGTCAAGATCGGGATCCTACCTATGATCGTTTTTGGATTTGCAAGATCAGGATCGTAAGATCGGGATCGGGATCCTAAGATCTCAATTCCCACAAAATAAAACATATTTATAATTTATATTTTTAAAACATGAAAAATATTTCAATCATTTAATTTTCGTTTAAAAATTACAAAAACTTCAAAATATTAGTTATAAGTCAAAACACAAAATGATAAACGGTGGGTAAAAGAGATAAAGTGGTAAAAAAAATCATTTACAAAAAAAAATAATAAATAAATAAAAATAATAATAATAAATAAATATCAAGGGAAGGTAAGATCGGATCGGATCGTGATCCTACCTACGATCTTACGATTCTACCTACGATCCTACCTCAAATATGATCCGTTTACGATCCGGCTCGTTTTTCATACATAGGATCGGATCGTACGATCCTACAATCAGGATCATGATTTTGACATTTGACAACCCTGGTTTGCGAAGCTAGATCACCCGACAAGTTTAGATAGTAAAAAAGGGAAACAAACGATGGTGGATCGAAGTGACGGTTTGGGAGGTGACGGTGGTGTGTGGTCTTTGCCGGAGTTGACAGTTGGGGTCGGTATACGCCCCCTTCCCCATTCCTCTCCTTCTTCTTCTTCTCTAACCAGACCTCCGTAATCCCCTTCCCTCTTCTTCTCCGACCAATCTACTTCGCGATTCCGACCAATCTCTTTTCCGGCAAAATCTACACCGTGATTTAGAGTTTTCTACTAATAGGTCTAGAGGAGAAAGTGAAGAGTCAGGTATAGAATTTGATGGGAATTGGGTGGGGTTGGAATTTATTATATATTTTTTCTTTTTAATAAATTGAAAATAAAATAGTAAGTAATTGAAAATAAAATATTAAGGGTAATATAGTACTATTTACATATTGCACACATATGTGTGTCTTCTTGAACAGAAATCGATGTGCATCTTGTTTCCATAAGATCTCTGGAAACAAAACACAACAGATCATGCTTCATCTCTTTCTTTCTCTCGCCCATCCATGTTGGAAAACTCCACGAGATCTCCCCCAGCTCTCAACTGATACCTACTGCACCTCCCTTAACCCCCACCCCCTTCCTCTCCACCATCAAATGTAGAAAGCAAACATTATGTGGCAACCTACTAAATCGCAGCTTGCAAAGAATCAAAAAACGAAAGGGGGAAAAAGGAAAAAGAAATACAGAACAAGAATGAAGTTTAAAAAATTCTTGCTTTCAATTATCTCTATCATCTTTATAGTTTAATTGAAAATAAAATTACAGAAGAAAACTGCAGCAGAAAGTTTCTATATTTTGATCGACAGTTAGCTTCACAGTTCCCTAAACTTGATGGTATGAAACCTTTCAGTAAAAGATTCAACAACATAATACTTTGCATTAGCATTTCAGAAACTATAAAAGATTCAACACATTTCGGAAACAAAATAAGATTTCATATTCAATGCAAGATTTCCTAGCATAAACATAACAGAGAATATTTCAGATATAGACAAGAGTTTTAATTTCGAATTTAGGGAAAATCGATGTTCATAGTCAAAAGCAGAAAATTTAAGTTCGTAACAAAACAAAGAAAATTGAAGTTCAAAGTGATAAGCAGAAAATCGAAACAAAACCTTGATGTTTCTCACTGTTCAGATATAGAAATTGACACCACAACAAAATCGAAGTTCAAAGGGATCTTTTTTACCGTTCAGATGAGGAGGAGGGCCGCGGCGGTGCTAGACGAGATAGCTGACGGTGTGTATGTGGGAGGTCGGAGAGATTCAAGGCAGCAATGAATTAGGGCAATGGTGGCAAGGGAGTGAGGGACTCCAATTTTCTAGTCGCCCTCCTCAGACCTAAAGTCTGATTCGCTAAGATAATAAAAAGGGGTGAACCAATTAAACTTGTGAGGGTCTATTTCTTAGTTCAAAGACTTGCCAAAATCGGTATTTTTAGAATTTTATGTTTTGATTCGGGTTGTTTCCATAAAAAAAATCTTATATTTTGATTTTTTTTTCTTTTTAGATTTAAATTTTTTTTTTTTAAAAAAATACTTAACTTTTACCTAAAGTTACTTGTTATTTTAGATTTGGCAGGTCATCAAAGAGAAATTAAATATTTTTATTTCATAAAATACCTTGTATTTTGTACTTTTTTTCAATTTAAACCTAAAATGATTTTTATTTCAAAATAAACTCAACTTTAAAATTGGTTACAACCTTCAAGACTAGTTGATAAGGTATTTCTTAACTACATCGATTTAATGAAGCTTAATTTCATCCATGCATAAAAATCGTGATTATATCATTTTAGTTTAAACATAAACATCGATTTAAAAAAATGTAATTATTAAGCCTACATTTATTTATTATGATTGGACAATTCTTTGTCCGCGTATATTTTATTAAAAAAAAAAGTTGTAAAAGTTATTTCTTCACTACACCAAGTTTATGTAGCTTAATTTTGTCAAGGTATAAAAAACATAATTATATTCTTTTAGGTTAAATAATAGACAACGATTTAACTTTTGCATCTTTTGGTATGCATGAAACATCTTTTTTTGAGCCATTACACATACAATGAAATTGTATAGTACAATCTTTTTTTTTCACGAATGTAATATCTTTGAGTACCAAACACCTTCAAGCCTTTTTTAATTAAAATGAAGATTAAATTTTATTTTGGTAGTTATTATGATTATCCTTAAGATTCAATAACCATGATATACAAACACCATGTATTGATCTAAATTCCTTTGCACAAACAATATATGTTTGAATTTAAAGACTAATACACATTTATATATGCATAAGATAGATTTACTAAAATGAGGTAGTAGGTCAACTATTCAATTTTCTTTTTCCTACAACAAAATTTCATAGTTTTGTCATTGTTGCTCATTCACCGCATTCCAACCATTATTAATAATGTGAACCATCGTATTTGGATATTTCAGTGTGTGGTATCATTCTTATTATCTGGATTTTCAACTTATGCTCAAATTGTTTCATTCCTAAAATATAGTTTTATGTATTTATATGTGATGTTAACATTTTTTAAGAAAGTCTTAAACTTTGAATCTCATATATCTAACCAAAACTATTACAAATGTTTAGGACTAATATTTTTATGTACGTATTTGATATAATTATAACATATTATTCAATAATGGGCTATGCTACAAAATATTTTATGGCTTTGATTTAGAAGTATGATAGTGAGTACGTTTGTTAATTGTTCTAAAAAAATTGATGAAAAAAACCGGCCAAAAAAATAATACAGAAAAGTGGGAGAGGAAAATATGTCCAAACTCACTAAATAAGTATAATAAACAAACTAAAAAAAGTATTTTGTATACAGTTTGTTAAATAACATAGTATTTTTTTTCTACAAATAAAAATAATTGTTATTAAGCTAAAAGATTCTTCCTAACCATGTATTATCCATGTTACCAAAAAAATATCAAATTAACATCAAACTTTTCATTAGTGGTAATAATAATAACATTTTTATAAACAATATATCAAGTTTAATGATATAATATATATCCAAGATAAAGTTTAATTATATCTTTTAGACAAAAATAAAATTTTGTAATTCTTCTAGGTTATATTCGCTCAAAAGATACTTAGATTAGATATTATTTTTTAATGTATACATGTACACTTTCTTTTTCGGTGTAGTCAAGAAGTACCTTATATATTTGGTCTTGAAGACTATAATCAATTTTAAAATTGAGTTTATTTTGAAAAATATATATATATTTTTTAGGTCTAAAATGGAAAAAAAAACAAAATATAGGGTCTTTTATAATACAATAATACTAAATTTACTTGTTGGTGATTTGCTAGGGTGCTAGGTTCTAAAATAACAAGTAACATGTAAAAGTTTGGTTTTTTTCGAAGAAAAAAAAAATTAGGTCTAAAAAAATCAAAATATATGGTTTTTTATGAAAATAACCTTATGATTTTGATATCCATAAAATTTACAATGCAATAAACAATAAATATGATAATATTACTTTAATATTAAAGTTTTAAAATATTTAATTTATATTAACTTTTTAATATTATTTTATTATTGATTTTTTTAATATTATAACTAATTCAAGTTGTTTATTTTAACATTTCTACCGTAACTTTTAGTACGCAATACTCGGTATAAAATCGAATATATCATCGATACATTTCATTTTTATCTATAAAATGACTAGTTTATAACCCGTGGGAACCACGATTACAAAATTAATTAAACTTTCATAATGAGAACTCAAAATTATTAATCAATTATTTTAAATAAATTATTAATTAAGAGATATTTTTTTAGTTATATAAAATTATAATCGTTAATTTAAATAAATACGTGAAATTATATCACTTTATAATTTGCATTAAATTTATTTTAATTTTTATTTTAATGTTATTAAATTTAATGTAATTAAAATGAGAAATTTAAAATTTGAAATGAATAATTAATAGGTTGACAAGTGACATGCATTAATTAGGAGACCCAATTGGGTGACACGTGTGAAAAAATAATAAAATATACATTAATTAGGAGGCCTAATAGGATGACACACGTCAAAAAAAGATTTAAACTATTATTTTATTAGAATAGAGATATTAAAATTTGTAAACTTGGCAACAACCTTTGGCAGACACGACATGAACTTGAAATATCCTTCGGTAGTTTGAAAATAACTTTTAAAATCACTTTGATTTTAATCAAAACAAAATTCAGAATTACTTATGTGGAAATATTGCTCCCAAAGTCCAAAACAAAGTCACATTGTTTAAGAATGTAAGGTAACATCAATTTAATATCATCATATAGCTCAAGATAACCACATAATTTGTGTCATTCAAAATGTCATCGTTGTTCTCTAATCTACTCCATGTAACGCCCATTTTTAAAAAACACATTAAAGTTGTGGAATTATTGAACTTAGATTTATCTTTGTAAATTAACCCGTTTAAAAAAGAAAAAGAAAAATCAACATTATTATATTTGTTGTCATTTTCAGTTCATATATGAAAAAATGTACTTTATGATTATTACTATCATTAAGTAATTTTACGCAAACAAAATCGAAGTAAACACTCCAAGAGCATAATTCAAAATACTAATGACTTATTATTTAGAAGATGGCTCCATGATCATGACCATAATCATTTGCAAGCACCATTAATATGATGATTTTTAGATAAAAACAACTATAAACGATCGATCAACAAGTCATATAATACATTACATATACGTCGACCATGAATTAATATATACAAAAAACCAAAATCATATCTAAGTGTGGCTCAATGATCCCAAGAACATGATTGTTCTAAGCGGGTCCTCTGCTTTCACTCTTTGATATGATCTTTTAACTTCTTTAGCATTCAAAACTCTTATTTTTGCATCTGAAATTTCATTTCTGTTATCGTCAACAACTATTGTGGCTTGAAAAGCTTGCCGAACTCTTTCTCCGATCATTCTTTTGCAGTCATGGATCATAGAGGTTTCGCTCGAGAGATGTTTAGGCTTCATTGTTTAAAGAAAGTGATGATTTTTGAATGATTGCTAGAGATGAAGAGAATGAATGAGTGAACATAAAATAATATTGATAGGTATTTATAGAAAATTACAAGCAGAGTAAGTGGCCTAGTGGGTCAACAAGGAACCCAAAGAGGGCCCACTAGATATATTAGGATGGTGGATGTTTTATGCTTTGATACATATACGTTTAGGTAGTTGTTTTGTTTAGACCTTTTAATGTGAGGATTTCATTTGTTTTTCTCCGATGTATGTGATATTTAGATTAATATTTCTCATATTTTTATTGTTAAAGTCAAATTTTATTTTCCATATCAAAAAGAAATTTCATAAATAGAATTATAAACTTAAGGCGAAACTGTGATAAAAGCCTTTTATCATGGATAATTCAGATAGTTGGTTTGTTTTTATAATATATATATATATATATATATATATATATATATATATATATATAATATATATATATAATCTATATTATATATATATATATAATATATATATATATATATATATATATATATATAAAGTTGATTTTGTAGTGTTGTGTGTTTGTGAAAGAGTGGGTTAGAGAGGAGTTGATACTTGATAAGTGTTCCTTTTTAACATTTGCGTTCATTAACAATATTTTGAGCTATAAGTTTTATAATATTATCTAATCTTATCAAAGCACAATTAAATTATTATTTTCTTTGTATCTTCTTTAACAAAAAAGGTTGAGTTTTCTCCTTTAATGAATGGATTATTTTGCTTATTTATATATTTTGTTAAAATATAAGCGACGCAAACTTTATAACAAGTAACACAAATTAAAAATAATATCCATGAATTACTAAACGAAAATTTAGCAAAAAAACATTACTTTACATATTCCATTTTCTTTGATATTAACTAATTATTTCAAAATCATTTTACAAATCAAACAACCACTTACTTAACAAGCAATTTCGTATCCTTAAACATATACTCTCACAAAACATGTCGGAAATATATTTAGATATATTTAGATAAGAATATCGCGCATATCAATTTGAGAGTATACAATTCAACTTTTTATGTGTGTACATTATATCATTCTTTTAGGAACTAGTTGCGTATTTGAGAGTTGAGACGTCCACATAACATCGACTTAGCTTCCATAATAAGAAAAACTATAAACGGTTAAAGACGTGTCGAAAAGAAACCAACTTTTATTCCCACAATGGAAATCTACTCCTGTACTTGCTTCTAAAATTAAAGTACAGAAAACGACAATAATTCAAATAACAAAAGGGATTTGCTGCATCAAAGGAGGATGTTGGAGGTTTTCAACAAAGTTACAACTTTTCTCATGTGCAAAAAAAGGTTAATCAAAAATCAAAATAATTGTATTCTTGTATATTCAGATTTTGAAATTACAGGTACTATGCAAATCAAACGGTTACATTGTACCAATGTTAACATCGATTATTAGATGATGACAATGTGATATCTATTACTATCTAACAAATTAAATCGAGAATATTAAACCTATGATCTTAACTGTTATACGATATGTCACAACCAATCATAACTACAAACAAGACCTAACCAAATCTCTACCCTACAATATTATAGAGTACATATTATTGGAGGTTACATGTTCGATTCAAAATAACCATGGATCTCATCCAATCCAATTCATCACTTACATCCTAAGCACTTGTCTTATGAAAGATAACACTTTTTATACTCTTACCATACACACAACCTCTCACAAAACATTAAATAAATTTATTTTAAACTTCTTTACATAAGCTTTTTATAGATAGATAATAATCTTAGTATATACAATCTAATGATCCATGTTTAATATTATTATTTTAGATATCATACATGGGATGTTGAGATTCAAATTTCTATCTTTATCATTATCTTTTTATGTTTTCTTGTTTGATAAGGTTTATTGTTATCCTAGTATAGCTAGCACTCTTATCAGATTAGGATTCCTTTAATATAAAAATGATCCTCATGTAATCATTTCAATAATAATACAATTCAAATCTCGTTTCTAATTTATTATGGTATACAAGCAATACATGGGAACACAACCCTAGTGCTCGTTAACAATGGCATGAGATAAGTCGGAGTCTTCCACAGGAGGAGAGAAGTCAGTTCTCGACATATCCTCACCTTATTTTCTCACGAATTCCAATCACCCTGGTCAAAACTTTGTATGAGAGAACCTCCTATGATATGGGAATTATAGTAATTGGGAAAATGATATGACTAATGCCCTTTTTTCCAAGAACAAAATAGGGTTCGTTGAAGGAACCCTACTCATGCCACGGGAGGATTCTGTAGATTTGACCAACTGGAGGAGATGCAATGCGATGGTACGGGGATGGCTCGTGAGTTCCATGGAGAATCAGATAAAGAGCAATGTGAAATACGTTGTGACAACTCGTGACATTTGGCTAGATCTGAAAGAGAGGTTTGGAAAAAAAATGTTCCACGAGCATATGAACTTCGACATGCAGCCACAAGCATACAACAAAACAACCTGAGCGTTTCTGCCTACTACACGAAGCTAATAGGTGTGTGGGACGAAATCCAATCTATCAGTCAAAATCCATCATGTTCATGTACCAGATGCAAGTGTGAAATTAATAAGGAGATCACCAGACTCCACGATAAGGAACATTTAGATGACTTCCTTACGGGATTGAATGAAGAATTCAATGCAGTAAGAAATCAAATTCTCAGTAGTAGCCCACTTCCCACACTCAATGTTGCATACCATTTTGTCAGCCAAGATGAGTAATAACGACAAATCGGTACTACTTGTAATGATATTTCTAAATCCTCAGCGTTTCAAACTGCGGGAAAACATATTCCTTGTCAATCTGGTAAAACTGGTTCACAACATAACAATAGACAAGATAATTGCAAAAAAATTTGTTAGGAATGAAGACCAATGGTGCACGCATTATCATAAATTAGGACATGTGGTGGATGGATGCTTCGAGATAAATGGCTACCTAGAGTGGTGGAACACAAAAACCACAAATGTGAAAAAAAAAAACAAACAAAAAAGCAAAGGATGCAAGCCAAAGTAGCTACTGTTACAGAAGATATCGGCCATCAAATGATCACGAAGGAAGAGTATGTTAACCTCGTGAAGATACTAAATGCTGCCAAAACAGTTGATGATCATCCCAAGGCAAACATGAGTGGTAAGAATGATTCCAAGTCCTACATGACTGGTAAGAGCGAAAACCAAAACTCTTGGATTATCGATTTAGGGGCTAGTGACCAGATTACCCCTCACAAAAGATTGGTTGAAACCTATCAAAACCAATCGACATAACTCTTCAGTTACCATTCCTAATGGCGAATCTGTACCAGTTAAACATGTTGGAGACGTTCACTTGTCAAATGGGTTTAAACTGAAAAACGTGTTGAATATTCTAATTTTTAATTGTAACTTGTTATCTGTGAGTAGGCTTGCAAATGATTTGAATTGTTCACCAACTTTTTTACCGAAAACATGTTACATTCACGACTTATGTTCAAGGAACCTAATTGGGATGGGTAAGGAACGTGGTAGATTGTATTACTTGGACTCATTCAATGAGAGCAAGGTGGCAGTAGTAGTTTTGAGCAAAGAGATGGTCTAACACAAAAGATTAGGCCATGAGCCCACGCTTCAGAGGGAGTTTTACAAAAATTACAACAAGTAGATGTAGGTAATTGTAATTGATTTTGCTATCTTAGATCAAAACAAACCAAACTTCCGTTTCCTATTAGTTTTTCTAAGACTAATGAAAATTTTGAGTTAATAAATGTAGACATTTGGGGTCCATATAGAAAAAAGCTACCTTGAATGGAGAACATTATTTCTTGTCTACAGTAAATGATTATAGTAGAGGAGTTTGGGTTTATTTAATGAAATACAAGTCTAAAGCAAGTCAATTTTTGAAATCCTTTTGCAACTTGATAACCATGCAATTTGATAGAAAAGTAAAAAGGATACGAAGCGACAATGGTTCAGAATTCAACTCAAGATTTATGCTTGAATTTTATAAAGAATGTGGCATACTTTTGGAAACATCTTGTCCCTACACATCAGAACAAAACGGTATGGTAGAACGAAAACATAGACACCTATTAGAAATGGGTTGGGCATTACGATTCCAAGCATCTATATCGATTGACTTATGGGGAGATTGTATCTTGACTGCAACATACATCATCAATAGACTGCCCACGAAGGTTCTTGAAAGCAAAACTCCATACGAAATTGTAACACCCCGGTATTCAGGTACTTTCAAATTCATCCTTATGGTTTTAATTTATGTCATTTTGGTCCCTATAATAGAAGAAAGTATCCATGAGAAGCCCTAGTGGCAAAAACGTAATTTGGAAGGATGGGAGTACGTCATGCGTACGTGTGTACGCTTAGCGTACTAGGGCGCGCCCTAGTACGCGGGGCGTACTCATCAGACATGGAAAACCCTAATTTTCTGGGTTGAGCCTTATATAATCCCCCTTATAACCTTATTTCCCTCACTCTTTCAACCTCCACCCTCTTTGAGTCGATTTTGCAAGCCCTAGCCCTTGTGTATGTTGAGCTTGAGTGTGTGTGTGTGTGTGTGTTCTTAGTGTTGAAGAAAGAAGAAAGGATTCTTTGAGAAGCATTGGTGTGGGATTCAAGCTTATAGATCTGAGATCTTCATCTCTTTGGGAAGCTCCATAAGGTATAAAGTCTTGAACTTTACTTGTATTTCTTAGAGATCTAGCCATATGGAGTTTTATGAGTTTTGTCCATTTTTATTGGACTTAATGAGTAAATGCTACTCTAAGACCAAAGGAGCCATATTTTCAGAAGATTTGAGTTGTGTTAGGTCATAAAAATGCTTTCTTGACTCATTTAGTGCTTGCATGCAAAGTGTAGAGGTCCTTAGTGGTTAAGACCAACTAGGAGGTTGGTTTTGGGTATTAATGATGCATGCATAACCATAAAGTTGGAAGCC